CGGAGAAGGGCCCCCCCCGGGCGCCCGCCATGACAGCAGCACTCAGCACCCGGGCCGACCGCCCCGGAAGCCCTCCCGCCTCCCAGCCGCCGTCGCTGTCGCCGCCGGCCCGTTGTCGTCATCACCGCGCGCCTGCATCTTTGGCCGCCGCTGAGGGCGCCAACCGGAGGGAAAGGAGCCGGCTCCTGAGACGGAAGTTCTGCCCTGAACTCGCCACTCCCTGCTTAGGAAGCGGTACGAGGAGCGGGTGTCAAGGGCCGGGGACAGAGGTCGCCCTCAAAGTGAAAGTGGAGTGTGTGTTGCTGGGGCAACCACGGAGGCCAAGGACTCCGCGGGAGTAAAGACTGTTGAGACTGAGGGGGCGAGGACCTGAAGTAGTGTCTGCAAAGGAGGCTTTGGTTTGGGGACAAACAGGCCCAGAAGACAGCTGTAAACACTAGAGACTCTGCAAGACTTACGAGAGGAAAAGGTCCCCGTTTATTTTTGCGTGTTAAAAGGAGATACTGTGCCTGCAAGGATAATAGCTGGAAAGGAGCCGAATCGTGGTGCAGCGGTAAAACCGGCTCTCTGGAAGGCTGACCCACGTGGGAAGGTGATGGTTTGTTTCCCGAGTCCGTGGGCGGTGTGTGCCCATAATCCAGCCTGGCTTGTTGGGCAGAAGGGATTGCTGTTTTAGGACTTGGGGAGGGGGGGCGCTGTCTTTGTCTTTCTCGCTCACTCGTAGGAAAAATAAAAAGAACTTAAGAAAGGGAAATACCTAGAAAACTGTATCAGTGTTGTGAATGTTTTACCGTGAACATAATAGGGGCGGGGGCGTTGGGAGCTGCCAGTGTTGTTCCTTGGGTCAAAATTCCTGAGATCGACTGTAGTTTCTTTCTTTTCCTCGGGAGTGCACGCGCCCTACAGCAAAAATCTCTCCAAAAAAAAAGAGAAAGAGTAAAGAAAGCGACTTGCCCAAGCTTATTGTGGCCTTAAAAATTATCTCATGTCCCTATTGGAGAGTATTAAGGTCCATGTGTACTTCTGCCCTGTGCAGTCTTAGCCTACAGGAAAAGAGTAACAAGATTTGAAAAAAGAAATGCAAGCCTAGTACAGTACTCTAAATCTCTGGTGGAGGAGGTAGGATTCTGCTCCTGGGGCCACCCCTATACTCTAGTTTCCATGGCAACAGCAACTTCCTTGTTGAGGTTCTTTCCCTGGTCTTCTGAAGACGCTCATTTTTTCACATATGATCTTTGCAAGGAACAGGGCTGCTCAGAAGAAAAAAAATATGGACTTTCTTGCCTGCCAACTGACTTTCTTTTCTCTGAAGGAACTAGTGACCTGGGTAATCAGAAAATAGGTTTGTTTTTATCCCATTCACTTTAAATTGTTTAGATTTTGAATAGATAACACATCTAAGTGCTGAATACAACAATAAATTCAAGGGGACAGACATTGTAACAACGGTAATACTCTATAACATAGAGTAAAATCCAAGCAGCTCTGCAAGGCTGACCCACATGGAAGGTTTCCAGTTTGCAGCCAGAGACCTCCTTGACTATGCTTGGCACCCATCCAGGGTTAACTGAAGAGGGTGGATTGTGGTCTCAAGACCCTCTGAAGAGATTTTGTGCTGTGTCTATTTCTATGACTCTCTCACTCATGGAAGAAATACATTTCCTTAAAAATCAGTTCAAGAGGTTAGGAGGTAGCATGGTGGTTAAGGCACTGGACTCCCACGTGGTCCACCTTGGTTCGTTCACACAAGGCACTTGCACATGTGCCCAAAATCCCAGCAGGAGAATGGAGAAGAAGGGAAAGTGATGTGGCCATCTCTCCTGGGGGGGTGATTTCTCACTTTCCCTGTCACTCTCTCTCTCTGGTGAGAACATGTGCCCTATAGCAAAACCCTAAAAAAAAAAAAAATCAGTTTAAGACTGAGAAGGTAAAGAGCAGCACTAATTATAACCAGTCTGATTTGCCTAATAGTCACAGACAGGGCCAGTAGCAAGGCCATGAGGAAACACTCCCAAGGCCACACCACACTTGCAACATTATTAGCATGAAAATAAAATCCTTAGTTCTTATCTTGGATAAAGAACTTAGCCAAGAGCCAGTATTATACTGAAACAACAAAGCTCTATAGTGAGGTAGAACTGAACTACAAAATGGAACAATGGAAGTGAAAGTACACTCTTAAAAGGTAGGAGTGGGTCTGCTCCCTGGGAAGATAAGAGCATGGAGGTTTCTGCTCTGTGTGCCCGGTTATGTCTGCTCCTCCCCTTTCACATCTGTACATGCTCAGCTGGGCCTTGTTATGTAATAATTGCCGGTAGTCAATGCAAATGATATGTTAATGAAGTAAGGGTTACCTGAAGTACTGAGCATCCTCCAAGTTACATAAGGTCCTCTGTACTTCTTATCTTCTGTAGGAGGATGTTCCTGATGGCAAAATAGCAAAAAGGACAGTTTGGGGCATTTCCCATAAGCAATGTCACAGATCCTCGTTACTCCACTCCAGTCTAACTGTAATATCTACTACCCTAACAAAATAACTTTTTTCAGTCATTCCCACTTTTCTACCAGTGTCTTCACAGCCCCACTTTGTTCTTTATGTTCCCTGACCAGAGATGCGCAATCCAGAGCTGATCCTTGTTCCTCATAAAGTCTCTTCAGAAGAAGCCCAAACCCTAAAAACATCCCTTCCTAGTTCCTCTTACTGATACACCGTAGTTTCTCTGGTGTGGTGTCTTCCTTCCAGGGGCAAAGCAATAACCCTAACTTTGATTGACTACATGTACACGCCTGATGGTCTTTATCTGATGGACTTTGTTACATAGTACACTATTATTCAAAAGATATGAGTATACAGAAAAGAAGTCTCCCACCCCCTTGCTCTCCCTGAGTCATTCAGTTTGCAAGAGGCAATCAGTGTCATTTTTCTGAGTATTCTCCCAGAAACAGTCTACAAGCAAATTTAGACATTGAAAAGATACACACACATATAGTATGTTATTAATTGTGTGAAAAAGGAGGCAGGAATATATAATGTACGGGTGTTCCTCCACTTATGATGGAGTTATAGCCCAATAAGATCATTAAAAATGTCATTAAGTCAGGACCAGCAGTTAGCATAAGGCTATGTCGCTGGACTCCCATGTAGTCGACTGCGGTTTGAGTCTCAGACTAGGAAACTTAAACTCATGCTGGGCGCGTGTGCGTGCGTGCCCAAGATCCCAAGAGGAGAATGGAGGAAAAGGGATTGCGGCGTGGCCATCCTCCCCTGGGGGGTGATTTCTTGCTTTCTGTCTCTCTGTCTCTCTCTGTCTGGCGAGCGCACGTGCCCGAAAGCAAAAACCTCTCCAAAAAAAAAAAATGTCATAAGTTGAAGTGAAATTTTTTATATCCCTAACCAACCCACAGATGTCCCTGACTTAGGATGGTTCAGCCTAGTTTCATACCCTTGTAAAGTTGACAAATTTTAAGTCGACCCATAATATGGGAACTATCTATATAATATATATGTGATAATATATAAACATTCTATACATACAATATATTGTTTAAATCTACTTCTATAATACAATTACTTGATATGATTATATATAGTTATAATACATGTATACTGTTTTACATGTATATGTCATATATTTTTTTCACATCTTATATATACAATTTGTAGAATATTATTGTCAAATGACAAAATTACAACAAATTTAGCTTAAAGATAATTGGCTTTTATTTTTGATTTTAGAATCAGGCAACACCTCATCTATAAAATAGAATGACTATTCTCATAATCCAAGCAGAGAAATTCAGTTGTGTAGCCTGAAAAGGGCTGACGAAGGCAGAAATTGAAAACAAAGTGAGGACTGGTCATTTCTTTTCTTATAAAGTTTAAAGCAAAGGGGACCTCTTTATCAAACTGGCTAAAACTGGCCTGTTTGAAGATTTGGCTGTTATCTCTCTTCTGTGATGTCTCAGGAAGACAGATGAACAACTTCATTTCAATTTGCTTAAGGAGGAACTTCACCATGAGAGAATCCATTTTAGTTTGATCTGTTGGGCCTAGTGCAGGTGCTCAGTTCAAACTAATAGCCTCCTTTAGATTTTATTTAACACTATGAATGCAATCATGCATTTTGCTGTTTTTACTTAACATATCTTGGAAATCATACTCTGTCTGTAGAAAAGGAGTTTCATATTTCTTTTTATGACTGCAAGGTGTTCCCATTTATGTGTTTACTGATTCTCTATTGAGCGACAGATGGTTTCTGATCTTGCTAGTACCATGTATGCCAAAGTGAATTTCTTTCACTGTGTACTTTCTACAATTTATATAGGTAATATAATTAGCACTAGTAAAATGGTAGAATTAGTACTAGTAGAATCTAATAGAATTGCTGGATCAATGTACCTTTGTGATTTTTTATAGTTTACTTATTTCTCCCATATCCAAGAGAACTAGCGCTCCCAACAAGGTTTTGATTCTGTGATCCACCCCTAGCCTTAAACCCACCCCAGATTATGGGTATACGTGTGCTCAGCCTACTCAGAGAGGTCTTGACACAATCCTGAAACCTTCCCATGTGGATCAACCCAGCAGGGCATCATGTTTTACCACTGTGTCATGTCTAGACCCTGCCTTTGTATTGGGTCATCAGAAAAACCAAGACATTTTTTTCTTTTCTTTTCTTTTTAAAGTTATTTTATTTAACCTCATTTATTTATTTTAACTTGACCAGAGTGGGACAGAGTGTGTGTGAGACAGAGAGAAACTGAGAAAGCAAGCCGCCAGGTCTGGGACTCAAACAGTGGTTGGCCATGTGGGAGTCCAGCACTCTTAACTACCATGCCACTTGCTGGCCCCCGTATTTTTTCTATGCAAAAATGCATCATGACTTTTCTGATCACTCAATACTTTTGATAGATATTATCAAAGCCTGTTCTAAGAAGTCATTCTAATTTTCTTTCTCACTAGCAATGTGTAAGTTGCCCGTTCCTCTATACTTTACCCAACAACAACAGTGTACTATCAAGCATTATCTTTGAGGAGCAAATGGTAAAAAAAAAAAAAAAAAAAATCAGTTTTAATATGTATTTTTCTTATAATAAG